TAACTCATTTTTTTTCTGAGTGTCATCCCTGGACAGGCTGTAAGGCATTTCACCAATGAAAAGATGGGGATTACAACTCAGCAAACTGAGTAGTTGTTTTGTTTTGCTTTGTTATTTTTATTTTTTTTACTTTTTATTTTTTGTACTAGGGATCGAAGCCAGGGCCTTTACATTGGGCTACAACCCCAGCCCAAATCTCCCTCACTCCATTGTTAATGTTTGAAACAGGGTCTCATTAAGTTTCCTAACTGGGCTCAAACTTATGATTCTCCTGCCTCATGTTTCCAGAGTGCTGGGATGCCAGGGTGTGCGCCACCACACTGGGCAGACTAGGTCCTTGACTCTTGTCACAGAAAACCAATTTCAGGACGTGTCAGTGAAAAGGATAATGGACTTTTATTTGGCAGAGTTAAAGAAGTATGTAGTCAGACAAAACAGAGTGGGGCCCTCAAGGGAGTGATGCACTGTACTCGGGGGGATATATGTATATATCTGTATCTTCTATCCTACCTCAACAGCACTGGCTCATGTATTGTTGATAAAGTTGCCTAACTCTTAACAGGGACTACTGCTGGGCCATATTATTCACCCACATTCTCTGTGAAATAGGAATTGTATGTGGCAGCAAATCTCAAACGCTAATGTGCAAAAGCTTCACTTGGGAAACTTATTAAAATGCTGATTCCGTGCCTCTCTGGGTACCCTTTACCATGGAGAAGGTTAACATAATGTGACAGTTCTCCAGCTCGCTTTTAGAATCCTATCATATTCTTAAAATTTTTTTTAGGATTCTCAAAAGTTTTTGTTTATGCAGTTTACATCTACTGGTATTTTCCATGTGACGATATAAAATAAATAAGAATTTACTGTTTAGTAAAAATAACAGTAAGTCCAAAACATATTTGTTAGTATAAAAACATGTATCTTAATGAAAAAATCACTACATTTTTCAAAGTGGCTGTGTTTAAATTTTTGTAGCTCTCTTTACTTTCTTGACGTAATAAAAGAGAGCTGTATTCTTTCTCCTCATTGAGACTTTTGCCACACAGCCTCTGCAAAACTCCACTCATGAGAAAATGAGCATTTCTTCTTAGCATTTTGTCATTTTGCCTTCTTAGCATTTTGTCATTTTGACCCTGGACCCTCTGAAAGGGGCTTGGAAACCCTTGCAATCCCCAGACCACACTTAGGTTTGCTAAAATAGTAAGTGATTGAAGATGTTATGTAGATAGAGATATGCTTTAGCACCTACAGTTTGCTCCCTTGCAAAGTCTGATTTTATCCAAAAAGACAAACATTGCATGATTCTACTTATAGGATCTCCGTAGACTGGTCAAATTCCTAGAGACAGAAAGTAGTAGCTACTGCAAGTGGGGACTAGGAAGGAGGCTGGGAAGTTAGTATTTGACGGCCCTGGAGTTTATTTGGGTCTGCAGTGTCAATTCAGGAAGACAAAAAGGTTCCGGAGATGGATGATGGTGACGGGTATGCAATACTGGAATGGACTTCATGCTGCAGAAATGCACACTTAAAGAGGTGAAAATTGTAAATTTTATCTCACCTGTATTTTACCACAATTTTGAAAACCTGAATAGAGATGCAGGTTCTGGGTACTCGCCACTGATATTCTGACTCAGGAGGTCTTCAGTGAGACTCGGTTATCTTTGTTCTAATGAGCAGTTCAGGTGACTGTAACGCAGGTTGTCCTTGACAGTACTCTAATACTTTCGTGTGGCATAGAGAGATCTGCATCCCACCCTTCTTGTCGCTGGCAGTGACCAGGCTTCTAGGCCCACGGTGCCTTGCTTCCCTGAGCAATGCAGTCACGAGGCGGCTGTGGGATATTCCCAGCTCCTTCTCATCTCTTGATATTGAGCACTTGGATTTAATGGGAAAGGCAAGAATCTTTCCCCTTGCCTTGCCATTGTTTGTAAGTTTCTTAGGTGCTCTGCAAGGGCCCTGCCTGGCACTTCATTGGCAGCAGGAATGATGCAGTGCTCAAGGGATGAGAGTCGTTGATTGCTGGGTGTGGTTTGTTACCTCCCCAAATGATTAGATGCACCAAGCATCAAGATAAATTTCTGGTGTATTAAGGAGATTTTTGAAGAATCCTAAAGAGTTAAAAGAAATAGAAGAAAATGTAAATGAATACATTATTTCCTTTCTGGATGGACATAAGTACTATGACATACACACTGGAGTACTACTCTGCCACAAAGAAAGGTAAGCAAGAGGCATTCTTAGGTAAATAGATACACCTTGAGGCTGTAATTTTAAATTAAGTCAGACATATGAGATTCAGTATTGCACGGTTTCTCTTATGTGGGAAGCTCTCTATCTCTCTGCCTGTTTCTCTCACTCTCTCTGTCTTTGTCTCTGTTTCTCTCTCTCTGTCTCTGTCTATCTATCTCTCTGTCTCTGTCTCTCTCTGGTCAAATGGAAGATACATACACAGTTTGTAGACAAATGAGTTAGATAAAATATTTAGGCAGTCAGATGGGGCTAGGCCTTCTAAGGAGGCAGTGCAGAAGACGACATACCTTGCAACTGTGGGAGAGACAGGCACTTCAGCTGTGGGCCAGACCTCATGACAAAATATGAAAAGAAGGCACCCACATGCTTCCTAAGGATAAACACCAGGGATTGATATTCTATTTTTTATTTTAAAAATTAAAAAACTAACAAAACAGCAATGAAGACAAAATCAAAACAACAGGAAAACAACAGAAACAATACATGGTATCTATCTCCTTGAGAAAGCCAGGAAAAGCCCCTAACTCAACCCCATACAGGAAAAGCCCCTGTTCTGTATTCATTCCTGCTTGCTGTATGACTCCTTCCCTATTTTATTCCACTTTAATGAATTTTACCTGAGCAGTTAAACTTGTAATCTTATTGGTTGACCGTAATTTTGTCCCACCTTAAACCCACCTCTTGATTTCCCATTTTTTCCACTTGGACTCGCCTCATGTCATGGATTTGCTCTATAAAAATCCCTAGAAAAGGCACGTTTCTTGGCAACCCATTTGGGACCCCTTGTGTCTGTCTCTTGGGCAGAACCTTTCTTTCCTCCAGTGAATATATTCTGCTCTTAACCTCTGTTGTTCTTAAAATTCATTCTTCCATTTCAGAGAACAAGAACTCTTACCAGATCTCTAGCAGGTGGGGACTTTCTTTCCCCCATATCAACAGGAAGTAGGAGAAGATTTTTCAAAGGATAGGGGAAAGAGAGATGGAGGGAGAGGGAGGGAAAGGCAATGGATAAAAAGAGTTGAATAAGAAAAAACTGAAAACAGAAAATAGGACTTTTGCAAATGGAAAAGGGAACAAGAGTTGGAAGGAGCAGGTAGGGTGGGGAGGAGTAGAGAAGGAAAAAGTTTTTTAAGCAGTTAAGTTTATTGGTGCATTTTAGGAATACATAATGACCATATTCATCATGGGGACATGATATCTTGATTCATTTTTTCCCATTCCCCTACCCTCCTTTCAACCCTTCTCCCCATCCTTATGTAGAGAAGCTTTCTTTCCATTTTTTCCTTCTTTTCCCGTAAAAGAAAAAGAATTAAGATGTGTTATACATGTAGCAACTCCCCTCAATGAATGCAATCATTAGGTACTGCAAATATGTACTAATAAAAAAATTTTCAAGTAAGGAAAGGGTTACATATTTGTATACGTAAAAATAAAAAAACCTGAAAATCAGCAAAAAGAGGAACCAAAGTAAACTACAATTGAATAGTAAAATATAATTTGCATTATGATATGATAAATATAATCAGTCTTCACACATGCAATGCATGTTTACAAATTTGCCTACCCAGCAAGTTTTATTTGTAAAGCCAGAATCAGTGTTCACGTCACTGTCATGCTCATCAGGCAATACATGAACAATGGCCTAAGATTTGCATTGTCCACTATACTCATTTCTAGCCCTGCTCTGCCTTAATCTTTTTTTCTTTTCTATTTTGTCCTGTCCTGTCCTGCCCTTTCCTGTCCTCTTCTCTTTTCTTCTCTATTTTCATTTCTTTGCTTTTATTTCCTTTTCTTTTATTTATTGCTTGATTCACTGATTCTCTCTCTCTCTCTCTCTCTCTCTCTCTCTCTCTCTCTCTCTGTCTCTGTGTGTGTGTGTGTGTGTGTGTGGTGCTGGGAATTGAACCCAAGTCCTTCACACTGAGCTACACTGTCAATTGTTTCTTATTTTTTTGTTTTCAGACGGTATCTCACCACATTGCTAAGTTGCACAGGCTTGACTCAAACCTGAGATCCTCCTACATCAGCCTTCTAGGATGTTGGGAAGGCAGGGGTGGGTCACCACTCCTGGCTGCAGCTCTAACTCTTTGTTTCAACTATCACATTATAAATAAGTGACCTTTTCGTGGTCCTGTTTCATGCCACTTTTCCACATTTTTATTGAGTTTCCTGAACGTAGTCCTTGAAGTGTAGTGCTATCCAGTGTTTCCAAGCTCACAAAGGCTGCGATATGTGTTACAGAGAAACTACATGCGTTGGGTAAGCTTCAGACATGACTTATAGCACTGCTGACCCTGATTTCAATATTACTGATCCCACACTATATTTTAAATGAAGTATCCTTAATTTTTTATTTGCTTTTATTTTGTGGTACAGGGAATTGAGTCCAGGGCCTTGACACTGAGTTCCACCCCTGGTCTTTGTTTTTGATGAGACAGAATCTTCTTAAATCACTAAGTCGCCCAGGCTGGGCTCAAACATGATTGTCCTTTGTCAGCCTCCCAAGAGTGCTGAATATGCAGGCATGGGCTCCCGATTTCCCCTAAACCTTTGCTTCTTTCTTTGTCAAACAGATACAGTAACTTCAGTTATGCTTCCCTCCATACTTAAGGGAGGCGCCCAGTGAAAACAATTCCTTTGAATATTCTTCCCAGCGTACTCTTTCCAATTGTACTTGGGCTATCAAACAGGAAGCCCAAGAATAATGCAAGGGTATAGGCTCATTGCAAAGGCCTGTATGTACTTACCAAGTGAATAGGAGCCTAGTCCATCACACTTTCCCAGATTTTCTTTCTTTCTTCCTTTTTTCTTTCCTCCTTTCTTTCTTTTTGTGCTCTGTAAAGGATATCTTGTAAATAATTAATGCCTTATCCTGCTCTTGAGAGGTTATGAGCTCTGAGTTCTCACAAGCTTAACCTTTTTTGCTTTTCTTCTCTTTTCTATTTTGTCTTACCCTGTCTTGTCCTTTTCTGTCCTCTTCTCTTTTCTTCTTTCTTCTTCACCATGAAGATCCATTCAGATCCATTCAGTTATCTAGGCCAAAAGCAAAGCAAGGATGATAATCTCGTTGATGGCTGTCATACTGGACAAATCATTTTTAGATCTCAGAAGGCTAGTAAGTCAGGCACAGGAATACTAGAGCATGGTAGAACCAATGTGAGCTCTGACCTCAGGGTGGAGGCTTTTTGTTCTCTGATACTCACTTCCAGATGTACAGAGCCGAAGGCCTATTCTTAACTAAAGAAAATTATGGGCTTACAGATAACAAATCTAGGTCAAAAGTCTGGCAGCCTGGGGCATTAATGAAGGCAGCATCTGGAGTAGGAAAGAGGGAGGAACATTTGTCTTTGGCAACCTCTACCTTCCTGACACCCCAGGTGTTTACATCTTGCCTCCACTATCACCAAACTTTGCTTCCAGCCAACTAGAAATTGTCTCATTGATAAGACTTTAGGACCTGATAGGATTTTAGGTTATCTCTCATATCAGGTTATGCTGCTGCTTACTCTATGATTTTCCTCTTACTCTGTGATCATATAAATCCCTAGAAATTTACTCATACTATGTCATTCTACCAACACCACAGGACAGCAGCAAAGAAAAGAAGAGCAACTCGCTTAGTTTCCTGGGTCTAGGAGAGTTTAGAATAAATTCTTAGCAGTCCTCTATTTCTACTAGCACATTCATCCAGGTCCTCCACACCTTATTTTTACTCTAAAAATGTGAGCAATAGGAATCAGTAATTCCACTTCAAATGAAAAAGGAGAGACACAAGGTGGTACTGACTCCCTTGCTTAAAGCTGCAATGCAAGTTAATGGCAGACCCAGGACCTGAACCCAGCTCTCTCCGCACAACCCCAACCCAAGTCAGCTGGAGTGTCTGTCCAAGGGTATACGCTTCTCCATCACAAGATGACTTCTTCCTGGTGGAAGCCAATTAGTAAAAGAAATGCAACCAGCTGGAAGCATGAATCTGTCCAGCAGGAATTTGTTACATGAACCCCTTTGCCCTACCCATACCCCCAACCCCAGAGACTAAATTCCAGGCCTGAGAAATGCAAGCAGCAGCCAGGCACACACAGAGTCAGGGCAGGGGATGCTGGCTGTCACAGAATCTGGGCCCCCTCCCCTTCTTCCCCTCCAGATCCCTGGAGTTCGAGTCTTGGAAAAGCCACACACTGCAGGGAGGGGGCCACCCCATGACAGCTGCAAGCAGGTTATTCCAGAGAATGTTGAGATGGCAGGAATATTTTCCAGTTGAAATCAGCCCAGTTGCCTTTGCATTTGAATCTCAGGAACATTCATGATGAAAATTCAGACAGCATGACATTGTATGAACTCTGAAAGCTGGGCTGATACTACTCTGGTTGGTGTTGCCTTTGGCTTATAATAAAGACCCAATCAGAGCCCTGGAACAGTTCAACTAAAACAGCTTCAGCCAAAGATCCTGTGCCATCCACATTTTAAAGGCTGCTGTGTGTAGTGCTGACCTTGTCTCTGAGTCAATGGTTGGCTTTTCGTGCTTTTATCCAAAGTAAATCCGAGGCTGTGAGCCTCACTTGGGGTGCTTCAAGGAAAGGAAGTCACTCAGCTGCACCTTTGCTGTAGCTATCTAGAAGATAAGATTATAAGATGGGAAAAGAAAACATGTCAGACTGCAGGAAAAGATACTATATTCTCACCCAGGGTATCACTGGCATCAGACAGAATGAGGGTTCAAAGCTGTGGATAAACAGGTACAGTGATTAGAAGGGAGGAAGCAACATGTTACCAAGGGAGAAGCCCTGGATAAAAATGAAGAGAAATCTGGTCTCCTGACTTTCACTTTCCACACCCAAATCTGGGCATGGCCTGAAGTCTGAGCAAATTTTCAATATGATCCCCCCAACTGAAACAGCACAAGTATAAGCATAGAACATTACCCAGAAGGCAGGAGAGGTGGGCTGTGGCACTCACTGGCTGCATGATGAATTATTTCCCCCACTCTGGCCTTCAATTTCATCTTACGAATTTTGAGCATAATAAGCCCTGCCCAACTCACAAATCTATTGTGAGAAGCAAATGAGATAATGAAAATGAGAGAAACCTTAGAAGGTATAAACTATGAGATTGTTTGTTGTAGCTAGGGTCTCCAGAACTGACTGGGTGATACAACTGACATGGTTACATGTATAAGCAATATCTCTCAGCCTGGGGTTTTGTGACAGGAGCAAATGAAAGAGCCAGGTACTCCCTAAACTGTGAACCCTGGGATTATAACACATTCAAACCTGAGTGCAAAATGCATGTGTAGAGCAGAAAGCAGCACTGTGGTTTAGCAAGGTCTAGTCTAAATGCAGCTGAAGGAGGAGATGCCTCTACAGTGTTACGTTCCAGGGCCAGGAAGACTCCACCTCCCAAATATCCCCATCACTAATGTCTGCAATCCCAGAGGAAAGGCTCAGTGTTGAAGCTCAATCATTTATTCTGTTAAAAACACAAATGTACTCATAGCATCAGAAGCGGGGAGAGAGTCTGTGGCATTTCTAACCTACAATGAGTTACTATTCAGTTGTTTTGCTTTCTCCAAATATTGTCCCACTCTAATCCCCCAGGTATTGTTATGCCACCCGTTAGAGCAACCTTCCCCAATTACACATGGTAAGACACTTCTGCTCCAGAAACTTCAGCAGCATCCTGCTACCTACAGTAAAAACTCCAAAGGCTTCAGGCTGGCATTCCATATTCTCAATAGTACTACCCTAGCCATCTTTCAGCTACACCTCAAGCACTCTTCCTAAACTCTGAATTGCCTCAGGGCAAATACATATTACAAGGGAAAAGCTAGACTAGAAGCTAGGAGACCTGGATTCCAGTCCCAGGTCACCCATTAACTTTATCACCTTATATAAAATACTTTACTCACCCATAATGTCCAGAGTATTGAGATTACTTTGGAAGTGTGCTAAAATACAATTTGTTACTAAATTAAAGTCTAAATATTTTAATTACTTAATTTTTAATTTATGTAACAGAGTCTATGTCCTCCCTATATTGTCACCCATATTCACTTTTTTACCTTTATGGTGTCTAGAGTGAGAAGGACAAGAATAGAATTATAGTCAACGCCCATATAATCACTCAGAAACCTGGATAAACTGGTTTATTCTAATTTTAACAACGACACAAGCTGAGGTTACATGATCTTTTTTCCCTCCCTTTGTGCCTAAACTTCACGTTCACCCCTCATATCCTCTCGCTTTTGCTGGGAAGTGTTTAAATCCTCCCATTCTTCAGTACCCAGCCACAACCACTAACACTAGTGATTCTTTCAAGTGCCGCAACTCCCAGCCCACAGTGAGCTTTTCTTCCCTCTGATTCTTTAATACTAGAAAGTGCCTATTCTCTCATTTTTCTGCAGTCTTCTGTGGCTTCTCTGTTAACCACCTGGAACAGCCTGCCTCATCTAATTTACCTACTCCTACACCATCTCTTGTCTTGCAGGCCTTAAGAGAAATTTCTAAGGAATGAGGGGTAAAGAGCTTAGGGGATGAACCTGGATGTTGAAGTATGGTACAAATGCAACAGGGCATCATACTATCATTATCACCTCTACCACCACCACTCTTGAAACATATAGGACCCAGTTTAAGATATATTTTAAAATGCATTACCTCATACAAACAGAGAATCAAAGCCGGAAGGAAAGGTCTAGATGCTTCCAGTCCAGTGATTCTCTCTGCCAGGAGGGATTGTTAAAGATTCCAGCATCAAAGTACCTGAGGCACAGGGTCAGGGATAAAGACTGAGAATTAGCATTTCTACAAAACTTCCAGGTGACACTGCTGCTGCTGATTTGGAGATCACATTTCAAGAACCACCTGTCTGGTCCAATCCTGATACTTTACTAATGAAGAAACTGCGGCCTGTGGGAAGATACTTCCCCAGCGTTACTCTACAAGTCAGTGAACCAAGCTGTGTTTCCTTACTCCTATAACAAAGCTCTTTCTTCCCCACCACAGCTAAACCGCTTCCCCTTCTTTTTTCTCTCCCAAGGGTACGGTGGAGATTAAGAAAATGCTGTCTGGAAAAGCCTTTGGGTTCTGCAAACCTAAGATGCTCATAACCAGGTGGCAGTGTTATTGCTCTGCAAAGACATCTGATCCCAATTATGCCTCCTCTCCTTTCTGCCTACACTGTGAGGTTTGGATGAATCCCCCCCCTCCAACACACACACACATACACACACACTCCCAGCTGTGTCCAAAACTTAAAGCCACCCTTTTTAGCCCTGAGCCAGCTTGGGCCACTGTTACTAGCTATGCATTCCCTGAGGCTGTATGCACAAAGAATGGCCTTGCTAAGCCCAGGAGGTAGTGGGGGATGGAAAAGCTCCTTTGCTTCAAGCAGGGCCCCAGATGGAAATGAGGCTCAGGTTGCATTTGTGACCTTTACCTATCCAGGCGTCCAGGCCCAGCCAAGAGCAGTCTGGAAACTACAGGCTATAAATTCTTATCTCTGCTCTTATCCTTGTTTGGTAAATTCTTTTTGCTACTTGAATCACAGACCCTCGATAGCCCTATCGCAGGATAAAAAACAACATAACAAATAAAAAATATTGGTCAATATAGTGATTAGAGTTGGCCTATATGATACAAGCCACATTCATCTGCAAAAAGAAAAAGCCAGCCTTTAGCAATCTCCTACCCCCACTAAAGCATTCTGAGAGAGCACAAAATCAATTAATCTAAAAACAGCATGAAATTAAATGCAAATGTAGAAGTGGTTTGTGAGATGTTTTGTCGCTTTTAAAGTGACTATGAGGGGTGGCTGAAAAAGAAATGGAGGTGAACCAGCCCAGAGATTAATGTTCTCTGTTTGTGGGAGGCACGCTAGGAATACAGGCAAGAGATGGAGATCCAGTATGAGCAGGATGAATTAAAAGAAGGAAAGTTGGGATAAACAAACCCTGAGCCCGTACTCATCCTTGGGGCTCACACCCAAGGAAATTTCCCAAACAACCACATAGGATCTGAGGAAGCAACTACAACCCCTTCTTTCCTCAAATTTCTGGTCCCTCCCCTTTCATAATGGCCATCTGCAAACACTCTGGCCCACGCTGCAACTGACCTCTATTTGTAACAGACTATTGAGCTTTTAGTCTTTTTTGAATGCCCCTGGCCAAGACACAACCAGTTCAATGAGGCAATGTGCGTATGTAAAAAGTACCAGGCTTGCAGTGAGGAGCCTTGGGTTCTAGACCCAGATTGTCTCTAACTTTCTGTGAGAACTACCTCTACTCCAAACTTAGCCCTCTTTTAAAATAAGATGACTCAGGGAACACATGTCTATTTCCAAGCAGGTAGGAAACCTTCAGAATCTCAAGACCCACCATATCTATCACCATTTTTTTGGTCACTGCATTCAGATCCTAGCACTCCTAGCAAATGTACAAAAAGGTAAAGCTCCTGTACAAATTAGTGGCTTTGTGTACCTCTCAATGAGGCCTAGATATAGAAATCTATTAGTTAATTCCAACTCATTTTTAAATGGAGAAACTAAAAACTAAAACACAGAGAGGAAATATAACCCCATAGGAGATCACAGAGATAATTAGGAAATACTAAGGCCATAAAGCAACCTCTGAGAAAAAGCCCTAGAATGCTACCCCAAGATTTCTCTTGTAGCTAGACTTACCTCTGCCATTAACTAGCTGTGTGGTCTTGGGCATTTCTGTTTACCATTTAGGGTTTTGGCTTCCTCATGAGTAAAATAAATTAATTTATCTACTATCATGCCTGATCCAGATGAGACCCTGTCAGCAAACATGCTATTCTCAGCAAATAACAGGAATCCACTAATGGACCATGCTGTACTCAGTATACAAAGCAGAAGGCATAAGGATGAGACCAGGACAAGATGGGCAATCTTCCTGGGACCAAAGAGTCTGACATTATCTATACACATGCCCAACTGTTCTGAATGTTCTGTGACCCCCTACCACTGGCATCCCAGCCCCCAAAGTCCTTCATAGAACAGCTCTCTCCCCAAGCCCTATGAAAATACGCCTCCCCTCTGACCGGGGGTTGACACCAAGATCTCAACCCACCTCTACAGAGACAAAATAAAACTAGCCTTATTACTTTATACAAAAATCCATTCAGTGGTCTCTCACATGCTGTTTATCACAGTTTGGTGAGGAAAACCTGGGACAGGATATCCCTCCTTGGAGAGCTCTTTACCCTATCCTGAGCCTTTTTCCTACTGAGACCACTGATACTGATACTTTTCCTACTGATACTGGCCCTTGGACCTTGCTCCAGTGTTCCAGGAAGCTCCCACCTCTCCACAAGTCACTTCAGATGGGGTAAGACTTTCTCCCTGTCCTTCTCCTGCCTTTCTACCCTTCTGCCCACTGGGTCATAAAGAGGCTCACCCTACCTCCTGTACCTTTTAAACCCAGCATTGGTTATGGACACTCCCAGGGAGGGTTGACTTCCCTTGGTGTTTGATCAACTGCAGTGACAACTACCTTGGTCACTCACCCACACTCCATTACCACCCTGAGTCTCAACTGAAGACATCTGTTGTGGACCCTGTTGCTGCTCATATTTTGTCACACTGGGCGTGACAATTACCTTTCTCTCTTCTCCATGGGGAATCTACTTCCTTCTATTCCCACTTCCTCTCCTCTAGCCTGTCTCTTAAAAAACCTAAAACCTCTCCATCTCTACCCTGATCTGAAGCCTAAACATCTAGTATTCTTCTGCAATATGCCATGGTCACAGTATAAACTGGACAACAGCTCATGCTGGTCAGAAAATGGGACTTTTGAGTTCTCCATTCTGAAAGATTTAGACAACTACTGCTGGAGATTAAGTGCATGGTCTGAATTGCCCTATGTCCAGGCATTCCTCACACGCTGTAGCCATCCTACATTGTGTGCCTTCTGAGACCCCTCCCAAATCCTTCTTCTTTCCTTCCCATCTACACCCCATTCATGTGATGTCAACTTCTCCCTGATGACAGTTCTAAATGACCTCACCCCCCTCCCAAGACCTGCTGCCTCAGCTGCTGCTCCTCCTCCTCCCTCAGAGCTTCCCACCACTGCAACTGCTCCTTCCCCTCCCACAGGGCCTCCTGCTGATCCAGCATCTATCCCTTCTATCTATCTGACACTTCCCCTTGACTCTAACTTGCCTCCGTATGCTACACCCGGTCCCACCCTGTCTTACACCCAACCTCGATTGCAATTTGGTCTCAAAACCTTGCCCCTCACCCCCCAGTTCCCACTCTGTGAGGTGGCGTGAGCTGAGAGAATAGTCTGAGTTGATGTCCTTTTCTCCCTAATAGAACCCTCTCTAATTTAGCAGCACTTGGGTTTCTTCTCCACCCAATACATCCAAGAATTCCAATACTTATTTCAGCCATAGAATCTCACCTGGACAGATTTAAATGTTATCTTTTTTTTTTTTTTTTTTTTTTTTGTTTTTCTCCGGTACCGGGAACCGAACTCACGACCTTGCGCTTGCCAGGCAGGCGCTTTTGCCGCTGAGCTAAATCCCCAGCCCCTAAATGTTATCCTTAACTCCACTCTCTCCCCAAATGAATGGGAACAGGTAATCTTCCTGGCCCAGTCTTATGGAGATGATACAGACTCCTTCAGGCTGACCTTCTGGCAGGCACTGCAGCTGTTCCCCAGAAGGACCCAAAGTGGAACTATCAGGCAGGAGCCAAAGACATAGACAACCGAGATCACATGGGTCTCCTGCCTAGTAGAGTGACTTCACCAGCCAACCCATAAAGCAGTTAATTTTGACAGGACAAGGAAACCATTCAAAATAGGGATGAAAATTCAGTTCAGTTTATGGCCCACCTGTCTGCTGCCCTCAGGTGATTCACAGCATTAGACTCAGGAAAACCAGAGGGACAACTTATCATTAAGATGCATTTTATTACCCATTCAGCACCAGACATTCATAAAAAAAGTATAAACACTGGAGGCTGGCCCTCAAACCCCACAAAAAAATTTAATTAACCTGGCCCTTAAGGTCTTCACAAAGAGAGATGAAAGTGCTTCAAAGCAGCATATTTCTGGCTGCAGATACTTGCCTCCACCATAATACATCCTCCAAGCCCAACCACTGAGCTGACCACAAAGGGATCAAGAACACCCCTGACTCAGCAACCTCCAGGACCTTGCTTCAAATTCTGCTAGAACAGTCACTGGACTAGGGAATTCTCACAGCCCGGGGCTCTCCCTAAGCCATGTCCCTCCTGTGGGGGACCCCACTGGAAGTTGGATTGCCAAACAGCAGTTGCTTGAGCCACCTCCGGGTCATGACCTCTGATCAGCTCCTTCCCAGAACTTCTTGGTTTGGCTGTCAAAGACTTATGTTGCCTGGAGGCCTCAGAGGGCCCCTGGGCCATCTAGGACACCAAACTCTGATTAACTCATAAAGGGGAGGGTAAATCCATCCCTTTTGTAATCAGTACTGAGGTCCCATTCCACCTTTCCTTCTTTCCAAGGCCCAATTTCTCTAGCCCCAACTACTCACATGGGCATTGATGGTAAAGTCTCCGGACCTTATAAATCACCCCTGATCTGCTGCCAATTGGGTCAACACCTTTCCCCACACTCATTTTTAGTCATCCTTATCTGTTCTGTTCCCCTTTCAGAGTAAGAGATCTTAACCAAGTGGTCAGCTACTCGGACTATCCCTGGGGAAACAACCAATGCTTATAGCCACCTTAATGATTCCTTCCCTGCCCG